TGTTTTGCGTAGATAAAAGCCAGGCAGAGAGCACAAACCCTGTGACGTAAAACTCCGGTTGTCTCACGCAGGCGCCGCAGCGTCCAGTGCTGCTCACTAGAGCTGGGCTCCCGCACCCCGGCTGGAGCAGTGGGGGCTTGGGGGCCACTTGTCCAACACTTGTCTCACCGCAGGGCCACTGGTCACAGCCTGGCGCCTGCCAGCCCTCCTCGTGTGGTGTGGCTCCTGGAGCAAACACTCCTGGCTCCCGTTGCCGGCCCTTTGGTGGTCACCCAGGGGTGCAGTGTGGCCGGGGGGACGGCAGCTGTGAACTCAGGTGGGAACTGGGGTCTTGGCGGGAAGCTGCCAGGGAAAACATCTCTCTTTCCAGGAGAGTGATAAAAAATTTTAAAAGGCAGTTTTTTGTGATATAGCAAGAGAGTCTGATAGCAATTTTAATCCCCACAGACAAAGTCTGTTCCAACCAGGTGCTGAGGAAGAAAGCACAGCCCTCCTCTTCCGCACAGGGCATCCTTACATCCCTCCGTATCCATCCACGTCCCTCCACGTCCCTCCACATCCCTTTCTGGGAATCCTGAGCTCTGCGAGGCTGTGGGTGTTGTTCCTTGGGAATAACCAAACCCTCCTTCCTGCGACACTGCCGGAAGCTCAGCACACAAAAGCATCCTCAGGACTGGCAGAGCGGAACCGTTCTCGTGGCGATGGGAGAGCAGAGCTCCCTCTGCTCTGGCAGGGCTCGATCCAGCCTGGGAGGCTGGCTGCTGCCCAGAGGCTTTTAATCCTCCCTCAGCCTCTGTCCGGGCCAGAGCTGTGTGCAGTGCCCGGGGGGCACAGGAGGGGCTCAGCTCGCCCGGCTGTGCGGGGATCAGCCCTTCTGGGTCACAGCAGAGCCTGGGGATGTGAGCTGGTTGTGTTCTGCATGTTGCAGCTGCATGTCAACCCAACGGAGCTGTTTGTGCTGTTGCAATCGTGTGAAATAACGGAATGGATTGCAGATGTGATTAGCATGCGCGTTTGAAAAATCTTCCATTAAATCTTCAAACTGGAGATGGGAGCTTCTGGGAGCTCTGGGACTCTGTTCTGTACGCGCTGACAGGAGGAGCCTCCTCAGGAGCAGTCCAGGAGCCCTTCTTGCGATTTGGGAACGTTCCCTGGGTTTGCTGGGGATCCTGCAGCGCTTGAAGGGCTCTGCTGGGCTGGGAACGCGGCTCGGCGCTGTGTCTCACCAGCCTTTCACAGGGCTGGGGAATGTTGACATGTGTTGTAGCAACCGGGCGGCGTGTCCATGGCCGAGGGGGCTGCTGCGTGACTCATGGCGAGGGAACTCGGGCTTCAGACCAACGGCAGACAGAAAGCCCGCTGAGCGGAGCAGGGCAGATCTGACAGCTCGGAATTGTCTGGGGTGGGAAGAATACTCAGCAGCTGGCTGCCGTAGGGGCTGGGTGCGGGCACTGACACCCCTCCAGGAGCCCGTGGGGTCTGCGGACGGACGGATGGACAGCCAGCCTCATCAGCCCTGCCAGCAGCAGGGAGCTTCCCGAGGGAAACTGCTTCCCAGGGGTTCTGTGCCACGGGGACAGCACAGCCGTACGTGTTGGGTTGTGAAGTGGGCTGGGGGTGGCACAGTGCAAAGGGGTAAAAGTAGAGCTTGAATCAGAGCTGAAGCTGAGACACTGCCCGTCCTGCTGGGTGTAGAGCAGGGAGGTGTTTCTTCTGCTGGCATCAGAATGTTTTGAGAAATCTTGTTTACCCGCTGTCTTTGTGCCAGCTGGATCTGAGCGGTCTTAGGGAACAGACCGGGTTTGCGTCTGCCGAGCGGGAGCCAGGGTTTGAACACCCAGCAGGCGGGGATGCCAGGACCCGGCGTTCTGGACTCGCCCACTTCAAGGGTCCGTGTTTTCCCAGTAAAAATAGAGTAGCTGGAATGCCTGCTGTTAAAAATGTGGCTCAGCTGGGTGAGTCATGAGTGAAACAAAGTGCACAGAGCACGGTGCCCTGCCCCGAGCAGGGATTTGTGCAGCAGCCACCCACAGACCCGGGATGGTTCCTGGTTGTTCCAGCGGGTCCCATTGTCCTCCACTGCGGGCAGACGCCGCGTGTCCCAGGCACGTTCTGTCCCTTCCCTGCAGAGAGAAACACCGCTCCCCGGGCAGGAGGAGAGCTGTGCTGGCGTTGGGGCAGTGCCTGGGTGCGCGGGGGGAGCTGCACCTGAGGGATGCTCAGCAGCAACGTCCCCATCCCCGCCAAGACGTGTCAGAGCTGTTGGCTGTTCTCGCAGCAGCTGTCCCCAAGCCAGCACCTGCTGACCCGGCGGGAACGCTCCCGAGGTGCAGGTGGGCGTTGGGGCGGGAGGGCAACCCGCCGCACACTGTGCTGGAAACCCAGCAGCTGCCCTCCAGCTGGTTATCTGTGGCTCGGATGAGCAATCAGGCTGAAGAGGAGTCAGGGGGAAAAAATGCAGGAATTATCCCGGCCAGGAAAGGGAGGCATGCTCGGTGGGGCCCTGGGCTGCCCGGCAGCCCTGCAGCAGGCACGCTGCCCCTGACCCCGGCCCCGGGGAGGGGGACGGCTGAGGATTGCAGAGGGTTTCCCAAGCGCAGCTGGAGAAAAGCTCCAGGAAACGGTCTGGAGGGGGGAGGCTGGATGGGAGGCATCCTTAGGGAACAGCTTTGCTCCCTCTCTGCTCCAGGGTTTGAGCCCCGAGGGTCCCCGCTGGCAGAGGCATGGGCAGTGTGGGGTCTGGGGGCGGCGCGG